CCAAACTACACGTAATTGGCGTAATAGCTTTGGGCGACAAGACCAATGAACAATCTAAACGGATTATGTATGGGCAGTCCCACTTGTGATCCGTTGTAAAATTACCTCTCAATACCCATAAGACAAAGTCTGTCAGTGCATAGACTTTTTCTCTTTTGATCAATATTAAACAACTTCTCTTATAAGAGGGGTTCCCACGTCTCATTAAAGTACAGAAACATAACACTCGAAAAACTGAACATCTGTGAGTTTTGACCTTGTAAAAAATGTCAACCAATATTTCATCCTTAAGTTTTATGTTAATTTAATGGTTTTCTTGTTACATGGTTTAAATATTTTTCGGTTTCCGTTTTGAAAGGTTATGTTATGTGCGTTGGTAATTCAAATATACATTAATTACATCTCTGTTTCAAACCGCCGATTCACTATTGTTTATTATTAACCTTTTATTTTCGGGTTTGTGTGGGTTGGATGAGGGCGTTGGCTTTGTTGAAAGTACATTCATTATTCTAAAATCGACCAGATTGTGGGTTTTTGTTTTTTTGCTATCACCGATTAAGACATTATGCGAGATATGAGAGAAAGGGCTAATCGTTCTTATTACACTAGTTCAAAAAATATTTAATGGAAAATGAATATTAAACTTTTAGTGGTCGACATAGAACACCATATTTATCCTAAAACAAATATACAATGTATTCCGCATTTGTTTGTCAGTAAATTGATGGCCTTCTATTTTATCTTGACATTAAATTCGCTATATATATATATATATTTATAACAGACGGACTAAAAAAAGAAAATTGAATCTTTGATTAATGTTTTAGAAACTGTTATTGTCTGTGAATATAACAAACGAGCTTGCTGCTCTATAGACGCATTACCAACTACAACCATATGACCACACTGTGCAATACATGGTTTTTATTTGGTGACAACAACATATATATTGTATTCGATGACAACGATAGATATATCTTATTCCATGACACCAACCATTATATTTTTTTCAAGTTTACTACCACAATCGATATATTTTATCTAAGAACAAGATAATATTTTCTTCCTTGGCCACGATAGAAATGACAACTGTATAAATATATTGCGCTATACCAACGATTAATTAAATATTTAGGTTGTGTTACAAGTGTCAAGCATGTTATATTACTCGTATGTGAGGTAAAAACAGAAATTTAGTCGTTGCAGATTCTTTATCGAGTATAAGACATGGATTAGCCAGGGTCAAAAACAAGTAAAGCTCGTAGGATGTGACGTTATATAAGGGTAAATGTCAGCTCCCCTGCTGAAAAGATCTTTGACACACCTACATTCTTAGTATATTCACACAACGCCACGTGTTTACAGGAAACGAATTATGGGTATTATAGCTGGGGAAAGTGCTTTTATGTATATCAGTACATCGATCATTCTTATTGTAATATACTACATTGAATTCTTGACAGTGAAGAAACTGATTCCAGACATCGATTCTGTCACTCTTAATACCTACAAGAACTGTTACTAGGGTGATTACCTGTATTTTTTTCCCTTAAAAACAGAACGATAATCCAGATTACTAATTTGAAAATTGTAATAACTGAATTGTAATAATTGATCATTACTGATACAAACATGAGGTTTAAATGTTTCGCTACAAATTGTTTTTCCAATTTTAAATAAGACGAGTTTTGCTTTACACCGGTAAATTGTCAACAATTGAACCCTTTGTGATTAGGATATTAAAACGTGGCACTTGTCTGCGATATCACCCTAGGTGGAAGTATACGTAAAACCCCAGGAACAAACAAACGAACCTGGTGAAACAGCCCAAGAATCAGACATACATGTGAATATGTAGCAAAAAAATTAAACTGTTTCCTTAATATGATTGCTATTCATTTTCATCTAACTGTTAATGAAGTTGAGCTTAATAACGAACATGCTGTTTTAGAATTGATTGGGTTATGCATCGATAAAAGTCACAATTAGAATGAATCTCGTCTGTGAATATTCCAAGGAAAAAATCAATTAGTTGATCAATACAGACGAGCTTTATTTCATCTAAATTTCACTGGGATCAAATTTACAGAAATAAATCAATGTCTGGATCCTACTTCAAAAGCTGCAAAGATACCTTCCAGGGATGAGTATATTTAAGTTGCAGTCCAGATCTTTAATTTTAAGGTAATCCAGTCCGGCAAAACAAGATGTTAAGATATAAATACTGATATCATAATTATGAAGGTATCTGTTCAGAACTTAAAGGAACTATAAACTGCTTTGATTTAGATCAAAATAGATATATTGAATTGACTGATATGTTAGATTATTTAGCAGAAGCTCTGTGCAACTAAATGTTTGTTTCCTGGAAGTCGGCTTTATCTGTCCCAACTCCTTCAGGTCTAGTCATTTTTAAGGCGGCCAGAATTTTACTGCATGAGCGATTTCAGAAACCTAGCTGTACTCGGAACAACAAGTGGGGTGCTCCTTCCCCAACATAGCAAAGTGTCTGGACAATGTTCCAGAGAAAACTGAATTTTATTGTATGAGCGATTTCAGAAACATAGCTACTCTCGGTAAAAAAAGTGGGGAGCAAAGTGTTTTGACAATGTTCCAGAGAAACTATGTTCGTAGTAACTATATACACGTGCATTCTATACTGCATTAATATATCAAATTTACAGCAAACGAGGGGGTCATAAATACTGAATAATCATCAATGGCATTAATTCTAAATTCATATCTCTTCGGTGTGTACGTTACCGTTTATTATTGGCTATAAGAAAAAACATACTTGATTTATAAATAATACATTGCCTGGGGGCCTTTCTTACGTCACTGTAGTCTGTTTAAAAGATTGGGTTTATGTGATTAAAAATTCGGATGATTTATAGTGCCCTTCAATCTGTGCATACGATCATCTCAAGGTTATTAAAGGTCACCAAGTCTAAGACAAAACTTTCTATACAATCTGTAGAGCCTATTAAGCTGCATAACTAATATATAAGTCAAATATGTCAGTACACATTCTTTCTTAGAACTGTTTAACCTGATGCAAACGTATCTATATTTACAAAGAAATATGTATAACTGTATAATGAATGTGACCTCATGAGACGTACATTCTGTTTATCTATATAATGTAATATTATTTAACAAATAATACTTAACCGAACATTCTTAAAATATTTTCAAAGTAAAAACACGGGACCTATTAACGAATCAATGAAGAGAGGGGTGCACTAGTCCGTGGTTTCACTAGTCCCCCGGTTCGCGGGTGCACTAGTCCGCGGGCTCACTAGTCCGCCGCTATAAAATATACTATAAATATGGGTATCAAAAATGCCAGCAGGACCTACTGAAGGCTTTAGGTCAGTGGTTATCAACGGCACACATTGGAACACATGACAAACTAGCGGCACACCTGGCTAAATATATATGTAAAATTTAATTTTGCAAAATAAAAACATACAACCGTAGACACAGAGAATGACTCAAACTAAATTAAGAAAAACACAGCTAAGAACTTACTTTATTGAAGTGTTTCGAATTTCATCAGTCTAATAGCTGGAAATTTTCTAAGTTTGCTGTCCAAAATTTCGTGGCACACTTAGTTGATTGAGAATCACTGCTTTAGGCCATGTTTTGTTATGGTCAAAGGTCAAGGCCCGACAGGACAGTCAAGAGTCAAAATATTGTTACATGGGTATCAAAAGAACCAAAGCCCTCATGACCTCCTGAAGGTTTCAGAACATTTTATGAGTACAACACCACAATACTGGAATACAACAAACCATTAGAACGATATTTCGTATATTAAAAGATATCGATCAATCGAAACAACTACCAGGATTTGAAAAACGCAATTTGCAAAATTGATGGATATCACATAAATCGCGATACAACAAATGATCGGTGCCTATAGGGTCACAAGTTTCATTTTTGACGCCAATATCTATCCAGGAAGGAAAACCGGCCTAGCCTTACATTGCATTGTCGGTGTTGGTGTACTACATTTCATTGTCGGTCGGGGTTGATGCTTTATATTTCATTGTCAATGCGGGTACGTTACCTTTCATTGTCAGGGTGGGTGCGTTATGTCATTGTTAGGGTGGGTGCGTTATGTCATGGTGGGTTTATTATGTCATTATCAAGGTGGGTTCATTACATTTCATTGTCAGAGTGAGTGCGTTATGTCAGGGTGGGTTTGTTATGTCATTGTCAGGGTGGGCATTATTTCATTGTCAGCGTGGGTGTGTTGCATTTCATTGTTAGGGTGGGTGCATTAGTATTATTATCAAGACTTCGTTACGGGTGTGTATTTACATGTGATCATCATTCGTAAAAATGACATTAATAATGTAGATACCGGCGGACTAGTGCACCGGCGGACTAGTGGGCATCTGCTGAAATGAATTGTTGACGAAATGAGGGCACTTTATCACATTACGCCAATGTGGCTAATATTGTCAATTGTGGTGAGAAAATATACCTTTATAACTTTAAGTACAAACTAAAGGCATGTAAAAGGTTCACTTGTTGGTATAAATTGTATCATACTAGACACCAGTAAAGGAATCTTGTAAACATGTTTCTGGTTATTAAATACAATGTTATAATAATATATTCACTGCAAGAAGATTGTAATGTTATATCATGTTGCAATGATGTAGTTATTTTATAATATTGCATAATATAGTGGAATATATATTGATATGCATGTTTGTAATGTAATGTAGTTTACTGTAGTAATGTTATGATATTGCATATATTATATATATATATATAGTAATTTTATAATATTGCATAACGTTTTATAGTGAAATTTGTTATAAATTACCACGTTTTATTGTGGACTTTAACATTATAAATTGTTTCAGTGTTATATGGGGTGATGAAGTGTTCCTAGACATAATTCTTGTGTTCCATTATAGTAGCATATTACAATGTATATTAAAATCCACAGAATAAGCTGTATACATATTGTAATATCAACATACCGTTAGCAGAATGGTCTTCAGGTATTATCTCTTGACAATGGTCTCCAGTATATCCACGAGGACAATCACATATATTAACTAAACTACCCATAAAATACCTGAAATACAACAAAAACACTGATTAATTTATCTTTATTTTAAAATATATAAATGTATTCACAAACAGTTCAAATCAACTATCAAAGTTATTGTGTTCCAAGGCATCAACACATAACAATTTAACATTCTACCTCAATTTGAAGCAGGGTTATTGTGTTCCAGCTGATTAGCCTTATTACTTATCAGAAAACGTCCATCATGGAACTCAGACACGACATTCAACTAATGAACATCTACTTCAAGTTTGAACATTCTACCTCAATTAAAGTGGCAGGGTGGAGAGGGGGGGGGGGGCTGGGGATTAATTTAGATTCTTCTAATTATCACTAGTTTAGTTAAGAAAATGTAACTTTGAATTTGCTTGTTAAAACTTAAAAGTCGCCAAATAACTTCACAGTTTATGCATGTACATGTATATTTCAGTGATAACTTTACTTATTTGTTTCAAAATTTAGATATACAATTTAAAATGAACATCCCCGGTTTAATCGTATGACAGACTCCGGCCAAATCCAATATTTTTAATATTTCTTACCATCGTGTCGAGACCTCTAAACCGTTAATTCGAGTTTTTCTTTCTTTGTTTATGTTTGTTAAATGTCATTCAATTTGTATTACGCCGTACTTAGACTTTTTCCTTATAGCCACCCAGAAGTGTTGCACTTAGAATCATGTATAAATTAAAAAATCCGACGCCTTATCTTATAGATACATGTACACAAGTATTTTAGTTCAGATAAACCTATTTGACAAATTAAAATACAACATGTGCCAAGTTAATTAAAAGGAAAAACGAATTTGAGTAAAATCACAGTTTTTGTGCACCCTGGGCTTAGGACTACACTAACACTACAAATTCGGCAATTGTGCTAGTGTGGAAATGCAGATTAAAGGTCAATCGGAAATATCTACGCCATTCGTTCACTTAGACCGGATTTATGCATCTGATTCCTGTAATTGTTTCACTAGTAAGTAGAACGAATGGTGCCTGTGGGTGTATTTGAATAGATAGTACAAGATCCATAATTCAAATCACCACACTTGTAGATTGAGACGTGCTGTGTCACAAGACGATAGCCTTTAGTGAGTTCTATCGATAAACTATTTCCGCCCAATTTGATCGTGTCTCTTTAAGACGAAACGCATGCTGATGTAGAAAAGAAAATCCGTTTCTTTTATTATCGTCTTTTAGCTACCAATTCAAAGATCAAAGTTATCCATGAAGACCCACTAGACCAGTTAACAAACACTCCCCTTACTATAGATACACGGTGCCATTGCCATAGCTTCATTACATCCCCATTGGTATTTTTTTTCCAGTCGTAATATTTGTCTACAAATTCAAATTTGAGTTTTTCAATTTTCGCTAATATTCATTAACATTTTTAAAATTATTACTCAATCACAGGGGTTGGCAACCTTTTGCATAATCTACGTCAGTTTGTTCACACATGGGTCGATATTCCTAGTTTGATTCATTTAGCATATTTTAATTGCACACAGATTAATATTTGGGAAGATGACACTCGCTAACCATTCAAATGATGTGCACGAATAGCAGAATGGCTAAAAATGAGCTAGCTTTTTTAATATCACAAGAATACAACCCGCCACTTCTAATCATCCAATGCGCCCCTTATGTCCCATGAGAAGCGGTTTGGCTACATATATCGTATTGTTTCAATTATTATAAATAATAAAACTTCAATAATGATCATTCATACAAAGCTGTAGCTTTATGATCAGTACAAAACTTAAACATTATTATAGACTAGTAATAAAAGAATTTCAAGTGCATTAAAACTCAATGTTTGCACTGCTGTTTACCCTAGTGTTAACAATTCTATAATGAGGATAGAAAAAAGAAACATGTCAAAATCAACGTGTGCTCAATCAACTTTGAAAACATGAAAGCTGGATTTTATTAGCTGTGCGATACATCATAGTATTCCATACATGTTAAATCACATAAATGATAAATAAGTTACTATTAAACATCGATCCATCCCAGCATTAAGAAACTAACCCCTGTAGTCACACATCATCTTTTGATAACCATATCCTTCGGCGCCGTGTTTAATGTTACAAAACAATGTATGTCTGCATAAAATCTGAACGATTAAAATTAATTTATATCAAGAAGCTTAAAAAAGGTTATGGCAGCCATTGGTATAGTTATGTTTTATCGCTATTTAGATATTTCAAGTTGCAAATATTCTTATGCATTACAATAAAACGTCTTTATTTTGTCACTTCCAGATGTTCCCTACCGGACCATTCAGAGCTTGGAAACAATAAATTCCTAAAACACTTGGACGAGACACGGACGTTTATATATGCCCCTTCCGGGTGCTTTCCTGTTATTTGAACGGATCGGAATAAACGTCATCCACGAAACATGGCAAGTTGAATTGATGTATAGTTTTAGTATTGATAGAAATGATTGGACAAATTATATAACTACAAACTATTACAATTTATTTGAGTCGTTAATTAACACAAAATATTACTTTGGAAAGATAGACAAATGTTACTAGACACAATAACGTGAAATTAAAGACGGCAATAAAATGCTAACATTAATTTAATGACAATGGGCTGGTAACACAGTCCATGTAGATACATCACCGCGATATATCAGTATGCGAGACTTCTACCATTGATTTTTATTGTTCTTATTGATGTCAACTGTCTTACATTCAAACGTCTACTGCCTTTTCTCCAGACATAAACAGAGCAGTTAATTTTAAATTTGTATCTATTTGATCTTCGAAGGTCGAGCCTTTGTACTTCATCAAATCTTGTTTCTATATCGGTCAAAACCATTTGTTTGATTACTCGTGTAATATATATTAAAACTCTAAACAAATATACCTAAAGAGGGTATGTTATGTAATTTTCGAGGCCAGAGAGTGTTCTTAATGTAAGATGCTCTCGATTTCCTTAAAAGGCGACTCTATACTCTTATAATCTGTAGTCACTTACATGCATGGAAAGGATGAATGGCTATGAACAAAATTTTAAAATATTTTTCTCCGTTTTGTGGCATCGTCTGTGCTAACAAAATAAAACATGATCAAAATCTTGCGATAGATTGGCTTTTTCTAACATCCCCTTGATGTACGAGTGTCTTGTTTACAATGCACTGTGTGTCCATTATCTGTAATCAAGGCGAAGTTTGGAAAGTGGAGCTACTCTTGAACGTCATGGAGCTAAACAAACCATCATTATCAATAGACAAATTATTTACGAGTAGTTTTGTCTGAAATGTAGAATGTTATAGGCTATTTGTGGATGTAATACAATTTTTAAAAAAGTATGTTGAATTATCAATGTGACCAGTTACTTTTCAGTTCTATTATAAATCAGATGTAGGCCAATTAGAAGGCTAAATATAAAGCGATATTACATTCTACACACAGAAAACTGTCTTATTTTAAGAATAGATCTCTGCCCTAAATTGACACCACGTTGAACAAGCGGTTGACATGCAAGAAACGCCTATATTTTGCAGGAAATGGACAGAGAACAAGCTCAAAAACAGAAGCGATTTTTCGTACAATCAGTGCCATAATCCACGAAATACGGTCCGATATACGTGAGTATCTACAGGAATCAAGATATTCGGGATATAAACATTATTTTAAGTTTCATCAAAATTGTGACCTCTAGAGGTTCCACAACCCTGGTATTACATACTTTTACATTATTTGCGTACCATGAACGGCCATTTTGTCGGGCAGTTTCGTTCCGATTTTGACAAAATTCGAACTCAAACTATTATGGCTTTTTGAAATTAGAGTGTTCACAAGCTAAAAACGTGATTTCTCGTACAATCTGGCGCCATAATCCATGAAGTTTCGATCCGATACATGCCAATATCGACAGGAACCAAGGTGGTTGGATTATAAACATACATTTCGCGTTTCATCACAATTTGATAAAACTTGTGATTTCCAGAGTGTCCACAACCTTGGTATTACATACTTTTACACTATTTGCGTACAAGGAGCGGTCATTTTGTCCGGCAGTTTCGGTCTGATTTTTACTAAATTCGAACTCAACCTTGAATGATATGTAATGGTAATACATTTAAACGGGTTTTTTTTTGTAAATTGAATACAAATTGTGACTTCTGGCAGGTCCACAAGCTAATAACGTGATTTTTCGTACAATCAGGAACCATAATTCAGGAAGTTGCGATCCGATATGCGTGAATATCGAAAGGGACCAAGATCTTTGGGTTATAAACACGCATTCCAAGTTTCATCAAAATCAGATGAAAACTGTGACCTCTAGAGTGTCCACAAATTGTGGACGGGCGTCCGAACAGACAGGGGTGACGGCATAATACGTTTATTATTTTGTTATGTGGTTCTAATCCGGAAGCAAAATACTTACTTTTCAAAAGTATACGAATAAAATCGCCGAATGGGGTAAGTTGTGTATGGCAATGTTGGTGTAAAAAAGAGATATAAACAATTTAAAATAAAGTTATTTTTGTTCCATTCATGCAGTTGGTTCAAGTAAATCATGCTCTTGGCCCCTGATCTTGATTACACAACCAATTTATCAAATGTCTCGATAATCAAAGCTATTCAAAAGATTTCGAGGAATGTAACTATTGGTTTTGATTGATTGATAAGTTAATCTGGCGTCTACCAATCAAAGTAGTGTAAACAACCGAAATATGAAAGGAAGTTAATGCTGGGAAACAAATGACGAATTATGTGATTCCCTGCATCCGTTCTCTGCATTAATCTTTGGGTCATTATCTGTCGAATGTTTACGTGCTTGTTTCTGTATTGCCTAGTTTTATTATTCATTTAACTCAATTGGAGTGGATACGATACCCACATTGTGTATGGCGACATAACAAAAGAGATGATAAATATTATATACATATACGGTATATGTTTACATATTCGATAATGTTTTGCGCTCTTATTCATCCCACTGCACTGGAGTTTAAGGAGATACTGGAAGAAATGAGATATAT